ATTGGTCATAACATTTTGTTTGCTGACTGGGAAAAGTTGTGGACCACAGGTATGAAATTTACGGCGTGTAATGCCTTAAGAGAGAATATTATGAAAATGATATACAGGTGGTACATGACCCCAGTCAAGCTTGCAAAAATTTATCATTTGCCCGATAATAAATGTTGGAAATGTAAAGAAATTGAAGGAACATTCTTTCACCTTTGGTGGACGTGCCCAAAGATTAAGGTCTTCTGGGAAATGATCTATAATGAACTGAAAAAAGTACTCAGGTACACTTTCCCTAAGAAACCAGAGGCCTTCCTCCTGGGCATTGTCGGCCAATTGGTGCCAAAGAAAGACAGAACATTTTTTATGTATGCTACAACAGCAGCAAGAATACTCATCGCAAAGTACTGGAAGATGCAAGAACTACCCACCGTGGAAGAATGGCAACTGAAGGTGATAGACTATATGGGACTGGCAGAAATGACGAGCAGAATCCGTGACCAGGGAAGCGATACGGCGCAGGAAGATTGGAAGAAGTTTAAGGAGTATCTAAAAAAATATTGTAAAATTAATGAAGGTTAGAAAAATGTTGGATTGGTTTTTAAGGGGTTAAAAGCAGTAAGGGATAATTGGAAGAAAATATCTGTTACTAAAACTATCTTAAAAGTAGGGAAAGGATCTGCTGAAAATTGAATCTGAAATTAGAATACAGAAAGGGAAGGTATGAGGAAGTCGTGAAAGTAAGCTTAAAGAAAGTAAAAATTGAGGTTATACGTGTTTTATCTTTTGTATTTGTATGTTATGCCTTTTTGCTTTTTTTTTCTTTTTTCTTTTTTTTTTGTTATGGTGTTGGTTAAAACTTCAATAAAAATTTAATTTAAAAAAAAAAATAAGTTGAACAAATCAAAAACTAAAGTTCTTGAGAAAAATCTAACACCAATTGAGAAGGAGAGGTTTCAGAATGAGACAGGTTTAACATTGGTTAAGAAAGTGAAATATCTGGGGATTAATATGACAGCTAAAAATGGGAATTTATTTAAGGACAACTATGAAAAATGCTGGACAGAAGTGAAAAAGGACCTAGAAATATGGTCAAATTTGAAGCTTTCCTTGTTGGGTCGAATTGCGGCTATAAAGATGAATGTATTGCCAAGAATGTTATTTTTGTTTCAATCACTACAAGTTTTGGACAAAATGGACTATTTCAAGAAGTAGCAGAGAGACATTTCTAGATTTGTCTGGCAGGGCAAGAAGCCCAGAATAAAATTTAAAATATTAACTGATGCAAAGGAAAGAGGTGGATTTGCCCTGCCAGACCTTAAACTTTATTATGAATCAGCAGCATTTTGCTGGCTGAAAGAGTGGCTGCTTCTGGAGAACACAGACATTTTGGATTTAGAAGGTTTTAATAATGTGTTTGGGTGGCATGCATATTTGTGGTACGACAAGGTTAAAGCACATAAGGCATTTAAAAACCATATTGTCAGGAAAGCATTGTTTAATGTCTGGATAAGATACAAAGACTTACTTGAAAATAAAACCCCAAGGTGGTTGTCACCGATGGAGGCTAAGACTCAGAAAAAACTCAATATGGAGGCCAAATGGCCGAAATATTGGGAAATTTTGGAGCAAGAAGGAGACAAATTGAAATTGCAGAGTTTTGAGAAATTGAAAGATAAAGCGCGAGACTGGCTTCATTATTACCAAATAAGAGAGGTATATAATTTGGACAAAAAAAATGGCTTCCAGGTGGAAAAATCAAAGTTGGAAACAGAACTGTTAGAACCCAAAACTAAGATACTTTCAAGAATGTATAACTTGCTCCTAAAATGGAACACTCAGGATGAAACGGTTAAATCTGCTATGATTAAATGGGCACAGGACTTTGGATATAACATTATGTTTGCTGACTGGGAACAGTTGTGGACCACAGGTATGAAATTTAAGGCATGCAATGCCTTAAGAGAGAATATTATGAAAATGATTTACAGGTGGTACATGACACCAGTCAAGCTTGCAAAAATCTATCATTTGCCCGATAATAAATGCTGGAAATGTAAAGAAACTGAAGGTACATTCTTTCACCTTTGGTGGACGTGCCCAAAGATTAAGGCTTTCTGGGAGATGATCTATAACAGTGTTTCCCAACCACTAGTGTGCCGCGAGATGTTGCCTGGTGTGCCGCGGGAAAAATAAAAAAATTGAAAGATTTTTTTTTTTAAAGTCAAATTTTCGATTGGGGCGCCGTCACTAGACGGGGTTCCCTCCCTCCCTCCCGCTCTGCGCCTCCCTCCTCCTCCTCCGGGGAGGCCCTTCCTGGCTCTCGGCCAAGGCTTGGCGGCTGCCACTCACTCACTCACTCGCTTGCCCACCCGTCCCTCCATCCCTGCACCCGGCCTCTCCCCCTCCGTCCCCGGCGCAGGGGCTGCCGGGATCCGTAGTCCCCTCGCCCTTGGGCTCCGCGCCCGCACGGGGTGCGCGAACTACGTTTCCCAGCGTGGCCTGGCAGGCCAGGCGTTTTGTTTGAAGCGCTCTTCTCCCGGCCATGGAATGAGCGCGGAGGCGGCGGCCGGGCGGGCAGGGGCTCTTCCGCGCAGACCCCGCGCAGCCTGCTTGCGCCCCCGCGGAGATCGGGCGGCAGGATGGAGGCCGGGGATCCCCGCGGAGGCGGAGCGGCGGAGGCGGAGGCTGCCCCCAGGTAGGGCTGCGTCGGGGGTTTTTTATTTTTGCAATGCTGCATCCGCGCCGGAGGGGACGCATCGGACCGCGGGGAGACCCCTTGGCGGGCGTGCAAGGCAATGCATGCGTGCAGGCGTTGCATGGAGTGCAGTGCAATGCAATGGCAACGCGGCGCCCTGCATGCATGCATGCAACTTCCACCGGCGCTCCGGACTTGGCAGGTGAGGGGGGTCCCCAGTGGGCAGCAGAGAGAGCCGGGAGGGCGAAGGGGAGCCGGGGGGGAGCAGCGCTGCTCCCCGAGCCGAGCCCGGGGGGAAACTTCGGCGTCGTTGCGCCGGGTGTTGGAAGCGGAGGCTGGCGGGGGCCCCCCACCTGCAAAACCTGGTCGCCTCTCATATATTTCGTGCATTGCATTCATCGCCCGCTTTCTCCTCCAAGGAGCTCCCGGGGGCGCGCGTGGTTCTCCCCGTGTTATCCTCGCAACAACAGCCCTGCGAGGTGGGTCAGGCGAGTGGCCCAAGGGAGCACCCAGGGATTGTCCTGGCCAGGTGGGGTGATTTGAACCCTGCTCTCTGCCCGGTCTTCGTCCTCATTTAGCCCCCACATGTGCATGACTGTGCATGACTGAGGTTTTCCCCCCTCGTCTTGGCTATGGTGTGAGTCTGTGCTGTTAATTAATGGGGTTCTGCCTTCGGAGAAGATGAGCCAGCCCTCAAGGAGGTGATTATGTAATTTGCTAGCAATTCATGTCCCTCCCGGCGTGACGCTGCGCGCTGACGTCACGGGGCTGTAATGGTGGTGTGCCTCGAGATTTTTTTCATGAAACAAGTGTGCCTTTGCCCAAAAAAGGTTGGGAAACACTGATCTATAATGAAATGAAAAAGGTATTTAAATATACCTTCCTGAAGAAACCAGAGGCCTTTCTCCTGGGCATAGTCGGCCAATTGGTGTCAAAGAAGGATAGAACTTTCTTTATGTATGCAACAACAGCAGCAAGAATACTTATTGCAAAGTATTGGAAGACACAAGAACTACCCACACTGGAAGAGTGGCAGACCAAGGTGATAGACTACATGGAATTGGCAGAAATGACTGGCAGAATCCAAGACCTGGGAGAAGAGTTGGTGGAAGAAGATTGGAAGAAATTTAAGGACTACCTGCAGAAATACTGTAAAATTAATGAATGTTAAAATGATGTTGGACTGAAAATAAGTGGTATTGGCAATAAGAGTAATAAGAATATGTAAATATGGATTGATAATGGATGAAAATATATTATAATAGGTTAAGATCAAAAGTTAAGATAAATGAAAGAAGGTATGGATTTGCTGATTCGATTATATAAATGGGAATACAAAAAGGGGAGGTGTGAGGAAGTCAAGAAAACAAGCTAATGAGTCTATAAATATTGAAAATTGGATTTGTTTCTTTAATTTTTTGTTTCTTTTCAGCTATTTTGTCTTTTTTGTATTTTGTATGTATTTTTTATTTGTATTTTCTTTAGCTTTTTTGTATTTTGCTTTATGTTTTTTCTTTAATATTGTAACTCTTTGTTCTTATTTTTTCTATTTTGCAAATTTATGCTTCTATTTGAAAAATGCTTAATAAATATCTTATGAAAAAATAAAATAAAATTACTGTAGTCGCTGCTAGGACCATAACATTATAATTAAGTCTGCTTAGCACTACCTGCCTGCTATCTTAAGATGCAAAGAAAAATTCCAGACTTTGGGGCTTCAATATAACATCCAAGCTTTCTCTCTTCCTATAGGACACACACTCCATACCAGCTTTGCTGTATGGAGTTTAAGAAAAGTTCTGGAAACTGCAAGCACTTGCTCTCCATTTTGTGACATTTTATTGGTCCTAATAAAGCTTTACCCCTACTGTGATTTTGGCACACCCACAATGCTTGCCGTTATTTGTATGTGTTTTATTCAATGGTGTATCTTGTTTTATCTTATTGAACATCACCCTGGGCTCCTTCTGAAGAAAGAGCAATTCATAAATGCAGCTCCTTCAACTCAAGTGTTGCTGAACACTCCTGATGAGAGAGAATGGGGAGCAAATGTTCAAAATCTGAAGCCTCAGAGGAGTGGGAATGGAACAGAGATGTCAACCCCTCACAAAACCTCTAAGGTAGAGCAGAAGATGATTTGCGTGTTTTAAAAAGAAGCATGAGAATACACCAATCAGATTTTTGAGAGCCTCCTACCGTTTATAATCATTTGTTTTCTTTAGTCTCTGTGAGTCCTGTCTTGACATTTAAGGTTTCTGAAAGAGCCTGGGCTCTCCACTGCAACAAGAGGAAAGCAAAAGAGGGAGATGCTCACACTACAGGTTCCTCTGGGATGGCCTCTTCCACTGTCACATTGCCCATTTTTCCCAGAGGAAGGAGGGCTGGAAGCTGCTTCCGACATCGGCGCTTGTGGGGCTTCATGGCTGGCTGGTCTGCAGCAACTAGAAGTTCTTGCTGCTCAGCCAGAATAGCGGCAGGTGCTTCTACTGGCAACTCCAGTTCCATTTGGGGGGGTTTCTGGTCTGGAATCTCCTTGTCTGGAGGCTCTTCAAACACTTGCAAATCAGGAGGCTTCTTGAGTGGAGGGGTGGCTGCTGCCGGAGGTGGAAGATGCCTTTTACTACCCTTTTTGACCTATAGAAGAAGAAACAGGCAGTAAAGCAATAGTTTACAAAGCATGAGCCATACCCTAAGGAAGGACAGCTGTCAAGGGGATTCATCCTTCTCCTCCACCTCAATGCTATGATTTGGCCTATAAACAGGAGTCCTATCTTTCCCAATACAGAAGGCTCCATCAATTTCCCTATGGGCTAATTAGCAGAAGAGAAGAATGGGAGCAGCACAGAGCAACCCCCTTTTCTAAACACTTCCTGCTTCCCTAGAGTTTCAAACCCAGGGAACCTAATCCACTCACCAGATCCATTTGGCATTCCTCTTTGCTAAATGCAGGCTAAGTGAACAAGCCAGCATTATCATCATGCAGCCCACTGCCTTTTACTCTTCATGTCAAAGATCAAGGCTATAATCTTGTAGCACGTAATTGGGAAAGACTACTAAAGCTGTGGACTCAGAATCATAGCTTAGAAACCCTACTTTGCTAATAATTATGCATGAAAAGCAAGGGAGACAACCATCCTTATGGAGCACAACCGGAGGCAACTAATCCGTGTTAAGCGGTCCTGGGAACATGCCTCACTTACCATCTGGGCAAGTTTTGGCTTTGCCATCAGGTGGTTCCACCATTGTGAAGCTTGCCAAAACTCTGCTTGGAAGTTTAAAAACACAATCACACCACAATAATTCCCCTTCCAAAGATACCCATCTGGGAAGCTTCTGCCCAGCTATGCAAAAGCAATCGCCACAGCAAAAAAGGAAAGCGGTTGTGCTGATAGCTTCCTTCTTTCTTCATCTTCCCCCATATAGTTCTTCCAGATGACATTCAACAGCCAGTCTAGATCTGGCCTCAGCAGACAGCACACTCACCCGCTGGTGGCCTCCTCCAGTGGGTGGGAGGGGTTGTAGGAGCTGGGGCTGCAGCAGGAGAAAGCAGTGAAAAAGGAGAAGACCATTAGAAGAAGGGTTTGGATTTGATATCCCGCTTTATCACTACCCGAAGGAGTCTCAAAGCGGCTAACATTCTCCTTTCCCTTCCTCCCCCACAACAAACACTCTGTGAGGTGAGTGGGGCTGAGAGACTTCAGAGAAGTGTGACTAGCCCAAGGTCACCCAGCAGCTGCATGTGGAGGAGCAGAGATGTGAACCCGGTTCCCCAGATTACGAATCTACCGCTCTTAACCACTACACCACACTGGCTCTCAGTTCCAAGTGCTACTGGGTTTATGAACTAGCAATTTATAAGCTTAGGGTATCAATGCAGTCCAACAGACAAAGAAGACTGAGGTAGAAGACTTGAACTTTCATGCACATCTAACCCAAGGAACCATCTGTAACCCTAGAGGCCTCCTAACAAAACTGACCAAGAGCAGGTTGCACTACACCAAGGATGGGGAACCTAAGGTCCCCTAGGCAGGAGTTGGAAGCCCAGCTCCCATCAGCCTTAGCCAGCACAACTCATGCTTGGAATCATGGGGAGAAGAGTGTGATTGCATTCATGACATGCTTGATGGCTTCCCATGGGCTGGCCAATGTGAGAAAAGAATCCTGAACTGGATTGGACTTTGTTCCCACAGAGTTCAGCTATGTATTGAGGACTACAGGCTCCCCATTCCTGGACTACACAATCAGTGCATCAGGGCTATTGGTACCTATAGGACCAGGGGAGCACCTTGTCCAGGCATGGAAGGCTTACTGGGTGACCTTGAGCCAGTCGCCATTTCTCAGTCTACCCGCCTTCACAGAGCTGTCGTGGGGATAAAATTGGATGGGATGACCACATATGCCACCTCAAGCTCCTTGAAGAAAAGATGGGACATAAAATGTTGTTGTTGTTTTTTTAAAAAAAGGAAGGGTCTCTCCCTCCAAAAACGCACTTAAACATGCATAAAATATGGGAGCATATGCAGGTCACTGCAATCAGTTCACTTCTAAAATGCTACCTCTGCTACCAGAACCAAAACTGTTTGGATCAGTACCTCAGCACTTGGGTCTACATAAATCCCTTTCTTGAAATCAAAGTCGGTCAAATCCCGTGATCCTCCCAGTAACCTCAGGAGCTCCACTCTACTGCGGATTTTCTCTCCTCTGGGGCTATGAGGGGGGAAAGAGAGAAGCAGCTGTTAGATGTGTAAAAAAGCAGCACAGTGAAAGTAGGAGTGAGCTGGGATGTTTGCATAACACAGTGCACAAGGGACTCTCTGATCTCAACAAAGGGATGTGGATCAGGTAAGATTTCAAGGGAGATTTCTCACTTTATTTGAAACTTTTTGGATGTGCACACCACTGACACGGAAGCTAAGAATCCTATTGTTTTGTTATGTACTGCGGTTGTGCTCTACTTGGATGCAGAGGTGGACTGAGGGTCAAGAAACATAGCTTAAATCCTAGAACAATGGAGGCCTTGTGGATGGGTGGTTCCTGTGTCCAGGAAATAGACCCTGCACATGTTCCAGATGGGGTTGCACTCTCTCTGAAGGAGCAACTCTATAGTCGGGGTATCCTCTTTGATCCAGCCCTGTCACTAGAGTCCCCAGTGACCTTTGAGTAGCAGTGCTTTTTATCAGCTCCAGCTGGTCCACAAGCTGCAACCATTCCTGGATCCTGGCAGCTTGATCACGGTGGCCTATGTAATGGTAACCTCAAGGCTTGGTAACTGCAACACACTTTATGGGAAGCTACCTTTGCAGCTGACCCAGAAGCTGCAGCAGAATGCAGCAGCCAGTCTGCCCACAGGAGCAGATTAGTTGCAACACGTCAACTCCTCTGCTGAGCTGAACTGGTTGCCCAGTTGCTACTGGGCCAGGTTAACTCACAAAGTCCAAAACAACTTGTGCCCAAAAGACCTTAAGGACTGCCTGACCCCTTATGTTCCACCTCCATTACCGAGATCCTCTGATGGAGCTACTACCCACACCTGAGGTTGAGTCAGCCTTTCCTGGGTCCTGAGTTTTCAGTGCAGCAGGTCCTGCACTGTGGGATTCCCTGCCAGCAGAGCTTCCGGCAAGAATTGCCAACCTTGTGATTGGCAAGCCCAAGAGGCTCAGTGGTTTAGACTACAACACCACTTGTGTCCCTCCAGTTCAAATCCACATGCCAGGGTGAGCTCCTGTTGCTGTCCCAGCTCCTGCCAACCTAGCAGTTCGAAAACATGCCAGTGCAAGTAGATAAATAGGTGCCAATGCAGCAGGAAGGTAAACGGCGTTTCCGTACGTTCTGGCAATCGTCACGGTGCCCCATTGCGCCAGAAGCGGTCTAGTCATTTTGGCCACTTGGCCCGGAAAGCTGTCTGTGAACAAATGCCAGCTCCCTCGGCTCGAAAAGCAAGATGAGCGCTGCACCCCATCATCGCCTTTGACTGGACTTAACTGTCCAGGGGTCCTTTACCTTTATTTGACAAGAATCATTATTGCATTCATTTAGACATATCCTTAAAATAGTGTTATTCAGACAGGTCTTTGCCATGTGAATTTCTTACCAAGCAGCCTTTGCCGATGCCTTTATTGCTCTTATTGGAATTGTGTCCACTGCCTTGTAAGTAAAAAGTCAAGAGAAAGAAGTGCATCTTTTGAGAACGAGCAGAAGCAAGACTGAAGAGAGATTTAAGAATATTTCTCAAGCCTTTGAACTGTCATGAAACCCAAGGTGCTTCTTTCCTTCAGTGGTTGTAAGAGAGGCACTAACAGCTGGCTGCCTAGGGAATAGGACCTGAAGGGAGGGATAGGCAACAGGTGCCCTCCAGGTGGTCATGGACTCCAACTCCCATCAGCCCCTGGCAGCATGTACAATGGTCAGGAATGATGAGAGTTGTAATCAAGCAAAATCTGGAGGGCACCTCTTCCTACAACCCTTACACTCTTTTCCAGATGTGACCCCAAATGGCATTACCTTGTGTAATAGGTATCTGACTGTCCAGGTCTTGTTCCATTTTTGCGCAAGACTTCACGGCGCTGCCAGCCGGGCCCTAGTGCGGGGCAATCCACCCAGCCCTCTGTCATGTTGTTGTTGGATATACCACAGGGCAAGAACTGAAACAGCAAGAGAGTAATGGAAGGGTCATAGCTATGGGGCCAAAAGGGTTGTTCTTAAAATAACCAAAAACATACACACAGTCGTGCAAGGAAGCACACAAGAAAGAGCAGCAAACTTGAAAGAGATGCTTCCATATATGGTTCCCCCCTCATTTGCAGCCACTATAAGTAAGGTATAATTTGACATCCTAAGAACCCCAACTGGTATTCCTTTAAGGTAGTAATGGTTCTAGGCCTTAGGACTACACAAGATGCACAGACATATTGGTGAAGTCTCAAAAGTCTGAGGAAGGAGCAGCTCCAGGGGACAGAGAGAAGCAACTCTGTGTCTCTCCCATCATGGCTGCTACACTTGCCCAAACAGTCCATACCAGGGGCTGAAGGAAACCCTCCAGTCTCTCTATCGGGCTTTTTGAACTATCTGAAGCAGGCCAGGCCACGCCTCTCACTGGCCCTTGCTGAGAGATGCCCTTGGACATTAACAATATCTCTTTGCTGGTCTGCATGGAGGATAGAGAGGGATGGGAGAGTGCATGTAGAAACTAGCCTCCTGTACAAAGGTAAATTGTACATCCATTGCTCTTCCCATGTTTGCTTCTGCCCCCCCCCCCCCGGCTATGTGGCCTGCAGGAGGAAATGCAGCCCTTCAACTGAAAAGGTCCCCCACCCCTGAAGGAGCTCTTTCCTTCCATCTATTCCAAGACCTTTTAAAAACTGAAACTTACCAGAAGTTGTGACCATGAAAGCAGAGTGTTTACAACAGCTCAATTCCGCATACTACAGCTTCTTTGGGACAGAACACATGCCCCACAAAAGATAGATGGCAGAGAAACAGCTTTAAATCTGTGTTCTCTTTACTTAAGTAAACATTAGGTTCTATTTCTGATGTTGCAAGTTTCGCCCAAGATTTCTACATTTGAAATCTATTACTTAGATTTACAAGTTTTAAAGAAGGGAGGGAAACAGAAGAAGCTGAATTCTGGACAAATAGCAGAGCTGAATAGGACTGACTAGACAATACAAATTTAAAAATAGTTTAAAAAATAACAAAACAATACAACAAACAGATAATGTGGAGTGTTGTTCATGTAACCAAGGACAAACCACAACAGATGAGCAAATGCTGTAATATAGGAGACACTGGAATGAGAACTGAGAAGCAGGAGGGCGCCCATAGTCTTTACCCACAGTATTAGATGTAACGAGCTGATATCAAAATTCCACAAATTTATCTGAGTCAATTTCCTATCTTGTCAAGTTAGTTTTTTGACTAGCTCATCTTAATACACTGCTTATTCTGAAGTGGAGACAGCTGTGAAACAATCACAGAGAGGCAGAGAGCAAAGGAGGCACACACCTTTGCATGGGGCTTGAGGAGGTCAGACCACCATCCAGGGCTGAATTCAGGTGCTATGCAAAGGCTTTATCCCTTTCTCTGTACAATTCAGAGACAGGCTGAAATACGCAGTCTCTCACTGGTCATTGCAACCATGTGGCTGATTCCAGATGCTCTTGACAGGCAAAACACTGCAACAGACCCAAAGCTGCACCGTTCTAGCTAGCTGGGATAGATGCAAAGGCAGGCAGAATATTCTCCAACAGCAAGCCCCACGTACAGACAGTATTGACTCTACCGCCCGGGTGACAGGGTGTGGGAAGATCTATAGTCTGTGTATTATTCCTAACTACACAGAGAAGATCACGCACTGAGAACAGAACTAGCTTGCCCAAGGACAGGCAAGCCTTGTGGTGGAAGGAAATTCTCTTGCTAAAATGACCATTTCTATAAGAATGCAAGGAGATAAGCACAATTACATCACATTTCAACACAGCAAGGTCAACCATAATTGGGGTTATTTTGTTAATCTTGGCCCTTTCCTCCTTCCCACTGATACAGACTGAGACAAATTCATATGCATACTTGTGAGTATGGCCTCCCAGAGAGATCTTAACTTTTAAAATTTAATTAATACCCCAGTTGTTATAATAAGGGGCAGCCATAAGTCTGTTCCAGCTGGCATTCATCTGCACCCTATTTGGCAGTTATAGGTGAGGGGATCAGGGCCAAATCTTCCCCCAAGAATGCTTAGTGACAGATCAAGATGCTGTTTGGAGCTTTTTATTTGGGAGGTGGACTGGTCAATATGAATGCCATCGCCCCACTCCTGGTAAGACAAGCAAAGTCGGGGGGGGGTGTTATCCATGTATCTTTACCTAGCTTCTTTCACACTTTGTAGAGATGTTCAGACTAACTACAGTGGTACCTCGGGTTACAAACACCTCGGGTTACAAACACTTCGGGTTACAGACTCCGCTAACCCAGAAGTAGTACCTCGGGTTAAAAACTTTGCCTCAGGATGAGAACAGAAATCACACAATGGTGGCGCGGCGGCAGCGGGAGGCCCCATTAGCTAAAGTGGTACCTCAGGTTAAGAACAGTTTCAGGTTAAGAACGGACCTCCAAAACAAATTAAGTTCGTAACCAGAGGTACCACTGTACTGTACTGCATAGCACTCTGAGGGGAGCTGTCCTTGAAGACAGCCCAAAAAGTATCGCTCATGCAAATACTGTTGCTGTTTACCTCCTGACAAGACAGGAAGGAGGGGGCATGTTTTATGGACTGTACACAAGCAACCAGCGTAGCCAAGTAAAATCCAATGTGCTGCTTCTGAGCCGTATAAAGAGCGACGAAGCCTAGGTTTGGTATATATCAAGGAGCATTTCTCTTCAATGCAAAGCCTTCATCAGTTGACATCTGCAGCAGCAGCACAATTATTTTAACCATTTCTTTCTTTCTTTCTTTCTTTCTTTCTTTCTTTCTTTCTTTCTTTCTTTCTTTTTGCATCAACTTTTGCCTATAAGGATGCAATCCTATGGTTCTTGGAAGAGTGCCCCATGAGCAAATGGACAGAGCCGCTTCTCCTAAATCAGGCTTCCTCAATCTCGGCCCTCCAGAAGTTTTGACCACTGGTCCTGCTAGCTAGGGATCATGGGAGTTGTAAGCCAAAAACATATGGAGGGCTGAGGTTGAGGAAGCCTGCCCATAATGATAGAGCTGGTCTACTTACTTTTGAGACCAATGGGAGGCAAGAAAAAACCAACAGTCAATGGAAGGAGACAAGAAAAGCTGGGGGGAAACAGCTGTCCCCACCTTCTACCTTGTCAGCATAAGACTGCCAGGACTTTGGATTTGATGGTTCCTCCACTTTGGATTCTTCCTCCCCTGCCCTCTTTGAATTACTCTGCCCATTTGGTTGGTGAAAAGGGCACTCAAAAAGTTAATACAATAATGTCCCTCTGTTGAACAACACAAGAATGGCAGGAATTCAGGGAAGCTCTCTGAGCTACAGACTTAGTACATGAAGTTCATCACCTGAAGATATATGCCGCAGCCCTTCCTTGCAGCTTTTTAGAATGAAAGATATAAAAGCTTTTTCTTTATTCCAGCATTTCCTTGGACCCTGAATACACCTCTCTAACTGTGAGAGTCCAAGCCTTATTTTAAGCACGTGTCTCAGTTGAGGAAAAAACAGCCTTGCACCATGGTACATTTTAATTAAAGGCTTCCACATTTAAGGAATCTGTTTAATTAAAGCAGAGTTGAGCAGCTCGGCAGCTGTATCCATGACTGAGTAGTCCGATTTAGGATCCACTCTGCTCACCCCGAAGCCCTAAACATAGTCTGCCTCCCTTTTACCCTGACTGGATTACCACGCCCAGGGGGGTCACCACCCAGCGGTCGTAAAAGACAATTGAACTTTGGAGCATGGAATATACAGACTTTGTTGGATAACACAGATAATGAGCGTCCAAAACGCAGAACTGCCATCATTGCAAAGAGAGCTGTGGTGTTTTAAGATCGATATTGCAGCATTTCAAAAAACTCAAAGAGCAGGAGAGGGACAATTGAAGGAAGAAAAAGGAGGCTACTCTTTCTTCTGGAAAGGTCTACCTGAACAAGAACGTTGAATACATGGAGTAGGCTTTGCTATCAAAAACAATCTTGAGAAGCTCTTGTAAGAAGTCCCTACCGGCATTAATGAGCAGCTTTCAACCCTTTGAATAAAACTTCCCCAAACACAACAGGCTACTATTCTAAGTGCTTATGCACCAACACTGGATGAAGACATTAAAAAAATTTCTACTCTCAGCTGAAGGCAAATCTAAAAAAAATGTAGTATAAACACCGACAGCTGGGAAACACTAGCCTACGAGCATCTTGCAATTTAAACATTGTATTTTGTCTCAGGTTCCTGGGCAGTTGTCATGTTTATTGGTAAAACATGTTTTTGCCATGGCCTTGCTTTGAAGAAACTGGAGGGGGGGGCCAGGACCTAGTAAACAAGATGCCTGCTGTGTAGTCAGCCATTGCCTGCTTTGCCGAAACAATCACGTGCATAGGCAGCTGCAGAACTAGCAGTACCTTGGCTCAAGGACAAAACGCTCACGTGGACCTTGTTCTGGAGGGAAGGCAATGGCTGTATCCAAAATTACAATTAAGGTGTACACACTAGTGTACACACTAGTCTGGAAACATCTACTTTTCTCAAACAAAACTAGGCAGCTAGCACACACTGGCATGTATCTGCTTACCATTTAGCCTGCTTCCATCATCCAAAAATGTCAAAGGATGAGGAATTTTTTGGAAAAAGCTGGCTAAAGTGGGAGACAAGACATGGGAGAGGAAGAAATAAAGTGAGCTGCGGTCAGTCCACATCTATCACCCTGCTCTCTTGGAAGGTGAAGTTATGTTTAAAGACCTGTGATGTTAGCAATAGAATAGACATGTGCCTATCTCCGAGAAAAGACATGGAGGGCAAAATTGTTCTGGAATTCATATCTAGTCTGCCATATGAGCCATGCTATTTACACAGACTGTTAACATACAGCTCCACCATGCAAAAATTGTGTCCACACCTTTCCCTGTAAGGCAGCAATGATCTTTTTGTGCTGGGGAGCAGGCATCATGACTACACCTCAAGCTTCCCACTCTCTA